GCTGTGGCTGTTTACCATTTTTGTTTGCTTTTGTCACGTGGATTTTGTCATATCTATTTTGTTTATTTTCTATTACGCGTTGTGATTTTGTGTTACCAAAACAGATCTGCAATTCAGGGTCAGGGCTGATTCCTCCAGAGTTCGCAAAGTGCAAAAAAATAAAATATATTGACGATTTTTCATGACTTCTTCTATTTCTTTGCCGCTTCTGTTTTCCTTACTTAAGTCTCTTAAGAGACTGAGTGTTTCTTGTTGTTCTCTTCCTCTTTACTTAGAAGCCTGAGATTAGTTTTTTAGTAACTTTTGTGTGTTTTTTATATTTTTTGTAAAAATTTATTTTCGAGAATTTTGTGTTTTGATGATCAGCAGAAAGAGTTGTTTATTTGTGGTGGACGTTGATTCCTTTAATATAATATAACTTATTATTATTATAATATTAATTTATCATTATAATGAATATTAAAATAAAAATTTACTAGCACTGGCTCATCATCTATATCGGATAGCACAATTACTTCGGGTTGATTTAACATATTGTTATTTCTTGAACTTGTATTGAACGTATCGATATCAATTTTTAATTTTGAATCCATTATTTCTTTAGAAATTGTTGGATAAAAAAGGTTTAGATTTGCAATTTGCATTTTCTTATATATATCAATTGTGATACGTCATTGATATGTATTTATTAGTTTAATTTATTTGATAAGTATTTATTAGTTTAATTTATCTGATAAGTATTTATTGGTTACATATTACATTATATAATTATACATAGTACATAGTACGCATTACTGGTAATCAGTGTACAGATCATACAGGGGTAATAACCGTACTATACTAGAGTATTTCATATACTAATTAATCATAATTATGTAAAATAACATAGTAAAAATTACTAGTACAGATTTTTTTACATATTATTTAATATTTATGAACCGTGTAGATCCTCTTATGACCAGAAAAATTATTTTACCAATTGAATTTCAAATTAGTTGTATAACAGATAATGACCATTATTTAAATATTTGAATAAAAAAATCGGTATTTTTTACATAAATAATTTTTTAACTAGATTATCTGCATTTTGAACCCGTTGTATATCTGAATAGAGATTTAATGAAACAGAATCTTTTTTGTAAGCCATTCTATTTTCATATCAAATGTCTTTTAATTGTTTATCAGTAAATTGAAATTCTTTAGTTGCCGAAAAGCGCATTTTTGATTGTTGGGTATTAGCTATCATGTTCAGGTGAGTTTTCAAATCCCACTTGTTAAATAATCCCTCAATTTGTTGCTGGTGAACAATAATATACCAAAGTTTGTTT